CGACGCTCCGACCATGTTTCGAAAACCAGGTCGAACCAACACTATTTGGCTTCCTTTGTTTACTATTAATATCAATAGGCTGGATTTTTGCTTTTATTTAAGATATTCTAATCGTTTACTTTAATCAGCATATCCTATTCAGATTATTCATTTTCATCATTGTACTGACCTTCTTTACTCATTTATTAGTCAGACTTAGAAAAAATACGATTTACGTCGATTTTTTTCTTATAAGAAATTATGAGCCACTGCCAAGACGATGTGAGGGCCTTGAACTTATCCTTAAACCTTATTCTTGATATTTGAACGAAAATCATATTTCATACATCCATTTTACATTTATGCACTATTACAAGTTAATATATTTACATATCAACCCTATACATGGGTATATTATTTGTACAGCATACTTATCGGGATGCCAAGCTCTGGCCTGGTGGAAGTCGTGCTTGGGACTGGCGAGAGACGGGCACAGGACATCTACCAGGAATTCAAGTATGCTTATACAGCCTTGGCTTTAATTTGGATCTATCATATTGCCATCCGACTTAGGTTAATAGGCAATTTTTAAAGGCATTTTTTCTCATGAAAAATTTCACTTTCTTAAATCGTTTCACCTACTACACCTAGATTCGAAGCTGAATTACGTTGGAGTTTCTTTGATTATACTCCACTGGAATGTCTCTTTCCTTTTACATAACTGAATTCGGCCACCTTACAGTTTCATTTATACACTTAAGCATTATTCTTCCATATGGCGAACATTGTTGGTGAGAACAGTTATTTTTAGGCAAATATCACTAGAATAATTTACAACGAAGAACAATTCACCTGTAGCCTTTTGAGACCTTTTTACCTATATTTAAGAAATCTAGTATATAATATTGCATGAATAGGTTTATAGGCGTGGGCTCTTGATTGACCTAGTACATGGCCAATCTAATGCACACTGGGAGGATCCTTAGTTAAATCGTCTTGGATACCATATTACGCAGTTATGCCTAAAATTACGAATCCAAAATCAGCGGACTAACTAGCAATTTAAATTATTTTGGGTTATATTCTAGCAATCAAACCAGAATATTAGCGTTATTATCAATACCTCAGCAACCAATTAGGACAACATTATTTTTAGGACAGCTTGATATATATATATATATATATATATATGTGTGTGTGTGTGTGTATACCGGCATACTTTTCATTTAGTTTGAAAATGTGTCTGGTACCATTTTTAGGGTTAGTGATTGGTTTTTTTGTGAGTGTTCGCAACTAATGGTTTCTGGCTCCAACGATGTCCGTCACACAACGGATGAAAGTTCAGAACATATTAATTGAGGTCTTCTTTACACAATCCAACAGTCATAAGTTCAAGGCAACTCTTCTTTAGTATCCGTTGCGGTCAATTTACGAATTCCTCCCACTTGCATTTACAAATGAAATGAAAGGCATGTCCGCATCAATTTACTAAATATGCCTATCCTTTTCTTAGAGATGGTTTGATTTAGTTATAATGATTTGCATCACCTATGCCAACAACCCGTTCCCGCTCATAATGGAATAGAAACCCAGCTGCATGCGAAGCTTGGAAGGTGGATCCAAAGGCAAACAGGCTAACACTTAGGTCAAGTATCCCTTCTTAATCGAAGTTATGAAGACCAAAACTGCTTAACAGACAATCGGTCAAAGGATCGGCTCGTCTCTTTGACGAGTTGTAGGGTGGTGCTAGGAATGGCAAGACTCACTGACGAGGCCGGCGAAGCATCAGGGAATGTACCAGGTCCACGGTCCGACTAGAATTTATCACACATACTATGGACTTCCGTTAGGGTGCGTTTCTCCAAGTCTTTCTGCCATTATGGCAGCCATGAAAACAAGGTAAGGCAACTATTATCCCTATTTAGTTGAACGAAAATTATTACTTTAAAAAAATACATGGATATGGTCGAGACTTTTCTCTGAATAGGAAGCCCTGTTTATGACATTAAACTAGCTACATTGCAGGCTCTTGTTTTCACTTCCTAAATTTTTTAATTTTCGTAACACGGTTCCTGTTTGGGTGTACTTTCCTAAATATTAATGAGTGTCTTTATCAGTTCACAAATTGTCAACAATCAGCCTTGATCATACACTTGAGGGCAAGATTTAATTAATATTTATAAACAATTTGGATTTTCTGATATGACCTTATTTATTTAAATGATCCTACCTACCATCCTTTTAGATAGATAAAAGATGAACTCAATAAGCTTTTGAATGGCTCTTAAAACTACATCAACGATTTGATTATATGCATTTTTACCACTTTTTAAATAATGATATGATAGCTATTGCTTAAGTATTATGAGGTATCAGGACCAAGATGTTTTGGCCTTTACTTTAGTCGCCGTCTCTCTTCACTGTATATACTTGACTTTAACTCATTTTCGCAACTTGGTCTTGATGTTAGGTCGACCTTGAAGAAAATTTCTTGTCCGTCATCCGCAATTATGATACTTTCGAGTTTCGGATCATAGACTTAAGACAGTATCCGACGTCTCTTTGCCTTCGCAATCGGCGTCGCCAGTGAGCCTTGCCGTTCTTTGCACCAAAGTACAACTCTTCAAAGAGATAAGTGAAGTCCATTCATTGATTCACTTTCTTCTGAAGGATTGTGATATTCCTCCCGTCTTTAGATATTATGGATTGTTCTACTCGCAATGTATTATTTTATTTTCCATTTTTGTAGGCATCTTATCGAGACCACAAGGAGATCTGAATGCACCCTATTTCGTTTAGGGTGATGAGGGACTGGTAGGCCTCATGCTTTCATTTAATTGGCCATGCTTTTCATAAGCTATTCTCATCCAGGTTGGACTGCAGTTTCGATCATATCTACGTCTTATGAGCCTTCTCAACTTGACGCGAACCCGAGTAGTTCAGTGTATAGTCTCGGCTGCGCAATCAAGGCTATGTAAAGTTAAATGGAAACATGAGGCCCATTCGTATTATTGTGCAAAAATGCCACTGCCAGTTGTACATTATCTCAAACTAATTGGGGGCTATACAGCTTTTATTATTTTGTATGCTTGTTTGCTATTAGATTTATCTGTTTTATCAGCTCAATTTCTTGTTTCGATTTATCCTAGCAGCCTTACACTCATTTTAACACTTGGATTCTTCGTCTTGGTGCATACGATGTTTGCCTGTATATTAAATATTTACTTCTTTTATTTAAAATGGTTTTTCTTTCTCAAGCTTTGATCTATAATTGTCTATTTTTATCTACCTGCCCGATTTTATTTCTTTTTCCTCCTTTCAGATAGCTGATATCGTAGAACTTCTTCTCACCGACCCGACTCATATTGTTCTTTCCCGTGGTGTACTCGGTGTGCTTCAAGTACCCCAAGCTACCATCGATCACATTAAGGCTCATCCTAGTGTCCAAGAGTTAATTATCGAGCGATCGTACGCTGCTCGAAACACTTACAATGCACTTGTCAGTGCTGGACATCGTGTGGCTGGACTTATTCACACCACTTGCTAGCCATTTGGATATTTATGTGTACCTGGGCTTGTGATTCAATGTTAATTGTGCCTGTGACTTCTATTGAACATTCATGGATGCATATACTCTTGTATTGTAAGCAAATTGTTTCCACATTCATAGACCCTATGAAATGAGTTTTATCCTTTATTTTTAATTAACTTGACGACGTAGGAGAACAATTGTACTGAGTTGCCCTAAGCAAATAATTTCCAAAATTAAGGATTAATCGTTTTTGGAAGTTTAAAAACGGCTAGTTTTTAACATGTGATAAGCAAAAGCAATACCTTTTAGCAATTTTACAACCTTATCCACTGTAATTTTTATGCATAATTTTCTTTCTTCAGGTATTAAACACATTAATTTCTCATGAATTATATATTTATTATTTTTTTCCAATAAACCTTGGCTACTGATTAAATTTTTTTATAAAATTTGAAGGAATGACTTATTTATTATTTTAGTCTCTTTGATAGTTTTTTTTCATTGATTGTTATTTCTCACTGATGAGATTTTGGACTGCTAATGAGGGAAATCTATGGAACCATATATAACTTCTCTGTTTTCTCCATTTATTTTGTTGTAAGAGTTGTTATCAAAATTTCCCACTTTTATATTAGTAAGCCTTACATTTCCATTGAATTTCAACGAAATTGCCTCCAATAAGGTATTTTCATCTAGGGTATACTGCAGTTTCGTTCATGTCTAGGTCTTATCGTCACGGGCAGCATAATTTTAGCCCTGATAGTGCAGCATATAGTTAGGACGCGTTGCTTCTGC